ATTCTGTGACTCAACGTGTTAATTAGACCCTTCATTATCTTGGCCAGATAAATTGGTAATAAGTTTCACCTTGAGGACGCCTTCTTTATTATTATTTTATGGTTTGAACTTAGGAAGAATCTAAAAAGATTTCCCCTTCTCACAATTGTCCAAATTTGAATAACTCTTTGAACTGCCACCACCAAGACCACCTATAACAATACACCTACCTATACAAATTTGATCAGACCATGCACCGTGGTGTTGCTCCGGGATTATCTGACATGCAATGGCTAATTAAAAAGCCGCCTAAACCTAAGGTGGCCTACTCTTTTTTTGTCAATTTCAATCGATTGCATTCAAGCCGTTAGATCGGGAAATGAGCGACCAAATATGTTTCTTCTTCCCCCAACCGTTTTCTGGATTAGAACAAGCAGTCCGAGTCAATTGCATCCAACCTGATTTCTCTCCCGTCCCTCCATGCCTTGCGTTCCTCAAGTTCCCGTCCGATCCCTCATGTCCACGACATCCACATCTCAGCCCAGGCTCACCCGACTTGGCCTTGGGCATTACTTCTCGTTCACATAAGAACAGACTAACACATTTTTGTGCCCAGTTGTTTGTGAAATTTGCAAAGTGAATTAAAAACTATTATTCCATAGAAACATCAAAACATGTTTATAAAAAAGCAAGACCATTTAGGACTAACCTTTGGAGACATATTTTTATAGAAGAAACTGTAAGCACCACAGGTCACTCCGTGACTCGAACCCGAGTGGGCTAGATAGCACCATGCTATCCTAGCCAACAGGGTGACACCCTGTTCTAAAAAAACATGTTTATTGAATATGGATGAAGTAGATAGATCGGCGTATTATGAGCGGGTGCTTTAAGGATCTCTGAATGCAACTTGAGCATTCACAATTTGGTTTTATTTGTGATTGTGGAACCATATGCATTGCTACTGTTGTCGGTTGGTCCCGTTCATTTATGTTTGCTATAGTTGTCCTTCCTCTACTGCCTAAGCATCCTATACATTCCTTCCACTGCCCAATGCAGGCATATCTTAGGCAGATCATTTTACGTATCCGTGGTCAAGTGATTAGATAGCCACCAGTGACATGCTAAGGACGCGAGGTAAGCCGCCCCGTCCATCTCATACCCCACGAAATCACACCATGAGTCGCAATGGACACCAGGGACAATCTCATCGACCTCACGGCTCACGCGTCTTGATGTTGAACGCGGATGTCCCATGGCGACTGCCGCCTTCTCCAAGCGTGAAAAGAACGATGTCGCTCCTGTCGCAGAACCACCGCAAGTTGACGGCAAAGTATGATCTCACCTTGAACTCTGCCTGGGGCGACATGAAGAAGTCGGGCCTGAACTCCCACTTGCCGATGTTGGGATAAAACAAGTAAACCGTCATGGGACCCTACCACATGTAGAGTAAATAAAAATGGAGGGAGTATATCAGCAATACACTACACTAGGTGGATCCAGTTAGTTCGTTTATCACCAATCAGTGACCGATAGGGAAATAGCTGTTGTGGCAGAGTAGGAGGAGGAGGAGGAGATAGCCTATCATCAAGACACTACACTAGGTGGATCCAGCCAGTTCGCTTATCACCAATTAGTGACCGGCGAGGAAATAGCTGATGTGGCAGAGTAGGAGGAGGCAGCCGGACATTGTCCAATTGCTATCTGGATTGTGCGTTAATCATCGATAGTTCCTGGTGCCTCCTATGCCTACACCTACAATATTCCATCCCTAGCGTGCATATATGAAGCAAATAATGCATGTAATAGGAATCAATAATTCCAGTCAAGAGAAAAGAGACGAGAAATAAGCTATTCATCTTTCGGTTTGGAAAGGCTCACTCCATATAAAAGACTTGAGTGCATGGTAGAGGCAGTGACATGAAGTCATTGGTTTTCCGTCACTAATAGCTCAGAATTCCTTGGTTATGAGCTCAGTCCTCGAGTAGGTAAGAACCAAATTTGTTGTGTTTGTTTCTCCATGGGTAGGTCGGATACAGTGAGAACTTTAAACAAAAGATGAATGCCCTGAGCTTTTTTGTCATTGGCTAGGTTAGTATATTAGGCTACAAGAGCTTTAAACAAACATTACATTTCATAAGTTCAATGTAGAAGCATTGATCTTCGGTCTCTACACAAGAATGATGCCACTGGACAAGAAAAAAGAGGTATACATTCCGTCCTTGACGAGACAAAAGAGCTAAGGGAATCTCCAATGCTGACCCTCAAATCGGACACCGCATTCTCCAAGGATCGGTGAGGACCAGTCCACGAACACTGGTGCGGGAGCCGGTCATCCAAAGATTGGTGCAAATACCTGCCTCTTTTTTTAAAAGCCCACAAGATCAAAATAGCCGCATATCAAATTCTAGTTTATCTAAAAAGGTTCAAATAGGGTGGTAGTTCTAATTTAAATGGTACAATCCAATAAAGTTTTCGAATTAAAGTAGGTCAAACTTAAATTCAACTAGCACATATGTACTAGTTGTTCCCTTTAACCACCCAGAGATGATCAATCGAATCTTTGTTCAGTTGCTCGATGCTGAATTTATTGATGCATTTGAATAAACTCATCAACGTGGTTGGATTCTGCTCTGGAAGTTCGATTGGATCACTCATGTTCTCAAATTCAAGTGTCGTGGCATCATTTTTATGCCCATCCTTTATGATTATGTTGTGCATGATCATACAACATATTATCACCTCTCACAAGGCCTCCAGATCCCATTATTTAGCAAGACCATAAACAACTGCAAAATGGGCCTGAAGAACTCCAAACAGCGAGATCACGACAATAACAAATTTGACCATGCCTCCCTCTCACGCGGATGCAGGCGAAAGGCACTACAATACCGGGTCCAACAAGCAAATGAGACCCACCCGTCATGCACGCAGAGACAAAACAATGATATAAAGAAGGGCCAACGACTAAGCCTTTGCCACCACCGTAAATGTATATTCACTAGTCAATCGAGCGAACCAAATCTACCGTGCGATGTAAGTCGCCCAGAATGGTGGGTGGCATAGCGGTTTTTATAGGATAGATTCCTTTCACTGTCCAACGTACATATCTTAGAGTGTCTTCAACAAGTGCCCCAAAACTGCCTTATGCGCTAAAAACCAGCGTTTTTGTGCGTCGGAAACAAAAAAACAGCGCTTCAGTAATCGCTATCAAGTAGAGCACGCTTAAAAAACTTTAGCGCATAGGCTGCGGGGCTGCAAATTTAGGGTGTCGGATTGTGCGCGCGGTTTGCTGCAGGTGGGGCCGCCGGATTGGACGCTTTTTTGTGCATCTCGAAAATCTCTTTATCGCTCCTGCGCGAAAAAGACTATTTTAACGCTACAAAAGAATTATAGCGCGTCTGTTGGAGATGCTCGTAGGCAGACGATTTTATCTATCCATGATCAAGTGATTCATCATCAGTGACATGCTAAGGACGCGAGGTAAGCCGCCGCGTCCATCTCATACCCCACGAAATCACCCCATGAGTCGCAACGAACGCCAGCAACAATCTCGTCGACCTCACGCGTCCTGATGTTGAACGCGAAGGTCCCATGGCGACCGCTGCCTTCTCCAAGCGTGAAAAGAACGACGCCGCTCCTCTCGCAGAACCACCGCAGGTTGACGGCAAGGTACGATCTCAGCTTGAGCTCTGCCTGGGGCGGCATGAAGAAGCCGGGCCGGAACTCCCACTCGCCGCAGTCGCCCGTGTTGGGATCGAACAAGTAGACCGTCATACAGAGTCTGTCGACGCAAACTCGTGACGTGATGCAGCAAAGCCTCTCGTCGGCGGTCACGCCTAGCAGTCGGATGCTCTGCTCCATGTATGTCGGGAGGCCGGTTTGCGGCATGGGCGCCTCCCTCGGCTCAGGCGTGTCGATCCGCACCGCCAGCGCCGTGCGCTGCAGCGGCCAGTAGGCCACGCCCCGGAGCACGATGGCCTGGCCAAGCTCGCGCGCCTCCTTGCTCTTGATCTTGCGGCCTGACCTCCTAGCCTCCGCGCTCCAGCGGCCAAGGTCCGAGGAGTAGGCGCGCAACGCGGTGAACCCGCGGCGGTTGTAGACGATGAGCACGCGGAAGAAGGTGGCCGGCAGCGGCGACGGGCCTTGGCCGCCGTCGTGGTCGCCGGCAAACAGTGCGCACGCGTACGTCCCGGGCATGTCGTCGCCGGACAGGGGCGGAAGCAGGGTCATGTGGCCCGTCATCGGGTTGCACACGCATAGCTCGAGGCCGGCGGCGCGGCCCTCGTGCCGGAGCTCCAGGACGAGGCGGCCGTTGCGGGACGCCACCGGACGGGAGTGCTCGAAGAACCCGTGGCCGACGACGCGCTGGAAGGCATCGGGCAGCGCGTCGAGCGAGGCGCTCGGGAGGCCGAGGAGCCGAGCGCCGGAGCGGGTCGGGACGAAGCGAGGCCCCGGCCTCGAGACGGTCGCTCGGTTGCGTGCGGTGACGTGACCGGCGGCGCCGTGCTCGCGGTGGAAGAAACCGAGGAAGAGGCGGGGGAGCGGCGGCAGGCAGGGCCGGCCCATAGATATACGGGGCCCAGGGGCAAGTCAGCAATAAGGGGCCTTGTGTTTACTCCAAAGCTCAAAATATTTATATATTTCATAAGCAAAATAATATCCAGTACATAGCATGATCTTAATTTGTACTCCAAAACTGACAATACAAATTATTTATTGATAAGTGAACTACACCATGATAGTAATGAAATGATGTAGTTCGACAAAAGCTTGCATTTCTAAATTTTAATGGAGACTTCATTTTGCCCTGCAAAACAAAAATTGTTGTCAAAACAGGTTGCTACTTAGATCTTTTGTGTTACCATGAGATAAAAAGTTAGGCATGATCTTACATTTGTTTCTAGATCCTCTCCCCAATTGGCCATGTTCTTCACTCCAAAAATCTTCACCCGGACTCATTTCTTCCAAACATTCCTGCTCAAGGCATAGTAAAGCAAACTGAGAAATTCACGTCTATACTAGAACTTGGAAATTCGTCTAACACTTCTAGAAGCAAAGTCATCGATTATTGCATCAACATTTATTTCATCCAACTTATCTTTCTCAATACATAAAGTAGCAAGACCATTTAATCTTTCTTGTGACATTGTTGACCTCAAATAGTTCTTTAACAATTTCAACTTTGAAAAGCTACGCTCTGCTGATGCTACGGTCATTGGTACAGTGAACAGAATTCGATAAGCAATTAAAAAAATTTGGAAAACAGTCAATATCTCTAACAAACTCAAAAATCTCCATAGCATGCAATGGCAAACCTGATTCTGGTAAGGTCATTTGCAGCAGTCTTAATTCGGAAAAAAGATCATCTAACCCAACATCTCATGAACCATTTCGTGAAAATGTTTCTATGAACTTAGCACAACATTTGCGTAGTTCAACATCATTCAATAACTTCATGTCTTTTGAGCTAAGTAAGAAACCAAATATACTTTTGAACACTTTGAGTTCTTTGAATCTAGTTTTCAGAGAGACATTTGCAATATCAACCAGAACTAAGAAGTAACTAACTTCGAACGCCTTCTCAGCTTTTAGAACTTCTTCATCGTTATTAGGTTCATCAAATTGTTTCTTCCTAGTAACATTACGTTTTATTGGAAATGATGGTTCTATGCCCATATCAACTGCAAGACCTTTGGCGATAGTCAAACAAGATGCAAATCCTTCATCTATGTACTTATCAAAAAACTGCATTACGCCTTCAATTTGCTGCAAGGTAGAGTCGACACACATAGATGCGGACTGCAACTTCTTACTCACCATGTTTATAGCAAATAATATATCATGCCAAATAACCATGCCAAGTAAAAACTCAAAACTACCAAGTGCATCAAATAAATTATTTGCGTCGCTCTTTGACTTGGCATCATCACAAATTTTAGATAACTCAGACAAAGCTAGCCTTAATTGTGGAGCTTGATATCTAATAGCTTTCACACTTTTGATTCGACTCTCCCACCGAGTATTAGACAAACCTTTCACAGTTAAACTAGGAATATGATCAAGTAAAACTTTCCATCTTTTAGTGGAACTTGAAAATAAAATATAAATTCATTGCACAATTCCAAAGAGGATATAGCTTTACTGCAAGAATTTGTCATATCACACAAAGTAAGATTGAGGCTATGACACGCACATGGCATATATAGAGCTCTTGGATGTTTTTCAAGTAAACGACTTTGTACCCCTTGTTTATTTCCTTTCATGTTGGAACCATTATCGTAGCCTTGGCCCCTTACATTATCAATATTTAAGCCATAAGAATCTATTGCGTCAAGAAGTACATTAAAAAGACCCAAACCAGAAGTGTCATCCACTGTCAAAAATTCCATAAAAAATTCTTCTATTTTTATTTTCTTATTTGACATGTTAACACATCGAATAATTAGGGTCATTTGTTCTTGATGGCTAACATCCGGGTACAATCAAGAATTATGGAGAAATATTTAGCCTCTTTAATAATTTGTAAGATAGAACTAGTAACACTAGAGGCCAATAGAGAAATCAACTCATTCTGAATTTTGTGGCTGAGACAGTGATGATAAATTTCATCATTTTGAATTCGTCTAAGATGTTCTTGCATTATTGGATCAAATTCAGCAATCATCTCTACACATGCCAAAAAATTACCATTATTGTGTTGGTAAAGTTTGAAGGGGAGCCTTGGCGCAGTGGTAAAGCTGCTGCCTTGTGACCATGAGGTCACGGGTTCAAGTCCTGGAAACAGCCTCTTGCAGAAATGTAGGGAAAGGCTGCGTACAATAGACCCAAAGTGGTCGGACCCTTCCCCAGACCCTGCGCAAGCGGGAGCTACATGCACTGGGGCTGCCCCTTTATTGTGTTGGTAAAGTTTCTCACTAGATCCATGAAAAGCCAAGCTACGTTTACCAAGATATTTAACAATGGCTACTAATCTCACTAACACTTGTCTCAAACGTTCTTTCTCCTTATTGATTTGCTGCTGCAAATCCTTATCAATGGTTTTATTTTTGGCTGGTCTAACTTTTAACTCATTCCAAGTGTTCATGATTTTAATATGCTCCACACCATTTTCATGTTCTTTAAGCCTCTCGCTAATATGCTTCCAATCACTCAATCCATTACCTGCTAACGCACTCTTGTTGCTATGGGATTTGAAAAGCTTGCAACAAAAGCAGTACACTTTGTTAGCATGTTCAGAGTAAGCCAACCATTTCCTGTCATGTACCTCTCCATTGCTCAACTTTCTCGAATAATAAGATTTTGAAAAATGTCTAGAGTTACTATCCGGAGGGAACACAATATCATCATTTCTTACGGGACCCTTCTCAACTAAAATATCTCTAGCCTTATAATCCAGATTATCCCAGTTTCGTGGATCAAAAATATCAAGAGTGAATGGTTGTTGTTTATCAACACCCGGTGTTTCAGAATTTGGTGAATGAGTTACATTTTCTTGCTCACTGGAATTGCTATTACCGCCATTCATATCATCATCAATAGAATTTGTATTTTCAGCTGGTTGTTCTTCAACACATACTATGGCCAATTCCAGGGGATCTCTAGAAGAACTAGCAGGTCTGGAAAAAATTCTTAAGTGATCCTTTTAGGGATTTTACCTCTTCATCTTTTTCCTTCTTTCTCTTCCTTTTGGCACTACCAGATAAATGCTTTCTAGAGGACATCTCACTAAACAAGAACAAGCAGCATATAAATAGATTAAAACAGGGAACAAATGCACCTGAATGTGGATGTAGGTGGCCAAATCAGCAGACCCGCAGGTTGCAGTCAGCACGAACGAGAACAGAACACCCCTCCTTCTCCAGTTCAGCAGTTCTCCCAAGCACTCAAACTTAGATACGCTCAAGTCTGAAGAGCAGAAGATAAAAAGAAAGATGTGGAGTCGTCAGAGGGGGAGGGCACCTCTATTTAAGTGAAAGGAGGAACGGGGTTATGGAGGGGAAGAAAAGAAGAACACACACCGTCTTCTCTCCAACGTCCAGCTGATGGGGAACGAGCAGAACGTTGAAGAACGAAGGGGAGTCGATTGGGGAGTGGATTGGCGCCTTTAATCTCCATTAATGGCCGGCGGCAATCTTGGAATCGGATACGACACGGGAACGGCGGCGGCGCGGCGCTGTTTTGGGAGTCTCGATTTGGGGAAGAGGAAACGAGGAGCACGGGAAAGATCGACCGACGCTGAACGGGCCCTCTTTACTCTCGCTGAACGGGAAAGATCGACCGACTACTAGAGGCAATAATACCTGGGCTGGGGCCCCTGCCTTCCGGAGGCCCAGGGCGGGCGCCCCATTTGCCCGGCCTATGGGCCGGCCCTGAGGAGAAGATCTCTTTTGCTCAGAGAAAACATCCAGAATATCAAATTCTTGGATTAGTTCTCTTTTCTCCCTCTTCATAGCTGCCTCCATATTTATACTTCACCCTCTCACCTTTTGTATGGACAACTTAGTTTTAAATTGCCATTTGTCAATAGCAGAATCAAAAGGAGAGGGGGTATTCCAGATTTTATGCACCAGAGTAATAAACTCAGGGTGACTAAACCATAATTTTTCAAATCTAAACAATCTAGAAGTAGGAGTGTTGTTTTCTCCGGTATCCAAAAGAAGGGGAGAGTGGTCACTGTCTACTCTAGGTAAAGCACATAGGGTGGTAAGAGGGAAATGGGCATCCCAATTAGTGGAAGAAAAAACCCTATCAATGGTAGCAAAGATAGTGTTGTCCTGATTATTACTACAGATAAAAATTTGTTAGCCGGTTTTGTTTTCATAAGGCCCCATTTGTTGATCCAATCATTGAACATGGGTCCAGAGAAGAACTCCATCACATACAATGCTTTCTTGCTGTCTTGCAAGTCCATGATGTACATTTTGCACAAACCACCAAAGGCAAGTCATCAACTCTTTAAATTGTGTGCTTAACGTATGACCTGAATATCCCATACACTTGCACTGATAACACTGATATGGCTTAACTGAATTTTGGTAGCACTAACAGAATTATAGAACTAAATGCTAGTATCTAGTAGAAGTTAGAATGCTATGTGTTCTGAGTAGAACCTGTGCCAGATTTTTTTCGAGTGTATCTCAGATGAATATGCCTAACAAACCATAACTTTGTACACTTTTGTACTAACTTCAGCTGTACTCCTACCTTTCAACACTAAGAAACAATATGCGTACTGAATAACATTGATGGGTCTCTCCCCTCCTATGATCCTATCTCCATCCAGCATTTTGACAAGTTCGTCGAGGAGCACTTCACTTGCCGCTTGCCGTGCATCCTGGAAGCCTGCGAAGTGTACCTCGGCGGTCATGCCCACGACAGCATGTACATATCAGAACCCTGACATACATGAAGAACGGCCAAGAGGAACCATTCTTCGTTTCACTTTATTAATCATGAACCCTGACATACATTTAGCTGAAACCGATCTTACCAGATTGGACGCACAAACTAGAGGCAAAGATACATGTCCATCAACACATTTATTTTGCCGAGCTAACTTACAGTAACGAACATGAACACAATTATTCAAGCACTCATGTGCATGCTTGTAATTCAATCGCCGAGCCAGGTGGGCAATTCGGAGTGCATGTTGGGCAATTTTCTTGGCATTCCTTAAGGTTGCGCCAACACGGCGCTTTGCCTGGGCGTGAGACGCAGTAGTAGCACCCTTTGGAAGTTGGAACCGATCTCTCTACTGGGATCGTCGCAGTTCCTTGGGATGCACATTTTCACGTTGATTTTGCCTTTCATGTAACGGTGAATCATGATATTGGTAGCCTATCAAAAAGACAATAGATGCATTGTTCCTTAGTGCACAATGTGGCAATTGTTTTCTTCAGACAATAAACAGAACAGTAAGAATGCAGTCTATGTATGCTTACACTGTCCAACTGCTGCGAGATACCCGAGAAACAGAAGAGTAATCAGCCTGCTCCCCTTCATAGCTGATCTTCACCTCTTTCTTGAACTAATAAACCATATATACGGGAGTTAGATCCGGGCAATGACCACGCCCCCTCTCAAGTCTCAATTTCTGCAGAAGCTACAGTACTATAGTATTCTTGGCTAAAAGAAAGACTGGCAAATTCAGTACATGAGCGGCAAGTGAGAAATGCCTGGGCTAACACATGGCAGATCGCACAACTATGGCGCTGCATATGCAGATCTGAACCAATGATGTAGTATATGTATAGTAAGAGATGTACGTGGTCCTTTTAAGGAATGTACCCAGTTACAAATGAAC